CTGACCTCCCCCCTCTGCCTCAAACACACCGAGCACACTCCTTATCCAAGTTCTTTGCACTGGTGGTTCCCCCTCCCTGGAATGCTGACCCCCAGATATCTGCAGGGCTCACCCCTACCTCCTTCCTGTCTTGGCTCAAATGTCAATGTCTCAGTGAGGCCTGTGCTGACCACACTATTTAAAATGGCAAGCCCACCCCACTCCCTATTTCCTGTTCCAGGTGCTTGTCCCCCCTTCTGCAAGGCAGTATGTGTATTTCACGTGTTAATTATTGTCCGCCTCCTTCATTAGAATGTGAGCTCTGCAAGGGCAAAGCTTGGCCTCCTTTGGTCACTGCAGTGTCCCCAGAGCCTGGAACTTCTGGCACGCTGCAGGTGTTCAAAAGTATTTGCAGAAGAGAGTAAATGAGGGAGGGACCCAGGGCCCCAGGGGCTCAGAGGACACAATCCACCTCCATCTCAGAGAGGCCTTCATGGAGGAGGGGTCATTGGTCTAGGTCTTGAAGGTTGAGTAGGATCCCTCTCCATGGAGATGGAAGATGTCCATGAGGAAAGACTTATTTGGAAGTGATGGGCTCAAAGAAAAGAACCCAGAGGCAAGGAGACAGCTAGGGAGCTGCCTTCTTGGTTTAGATCCAAGGCAATGGTGCCCAAACAAGGAGAGAGGAGCAGAGGGGCATCCTTAGCCTTTCTTCTTGGGCCCCTGCCCCTTGATCAGACTGCCAGTGTTGGGTAACTCCACTGGGCAGGGCAGTGGGAACGTTGGCTGCTCAGTGTTTTTGGTCTTCCAGGGTCTGGCGAGAAGGCATTTGAGGTACACATTTGGCCAAAGCAACTGGTGGTGGAGCCCGGAGGGTCCTGGGTGATCAACTGTAGTACTAGCTGTGCCCATCCGGACGCTGGGGGCCTGGAGACCACCCTACCCAAGACTGTGCTAACGGAGCAAACTCAGTGGAAGCAATACAAGGTCTCCAATGTGTCTAATGCCACAGTTGCATACTGCCACTTCACCTGCTCCGGGAAGCAGAAGTCGGAGGACCTCAGAATCAGCACGTACCGTGAGTGTGGCATGGCGGCCCTCCTCCCCCAGGGCAGAGCGCATGTCTGCGGGATGCGCCCAAAGCTGCTCCGTACTGCCCCTGGCCACTCTCATTATTATCCCCCACCTGCCTGGACTCTGGGGGCCGCGGGGAGCAGGACCCAGGCCATGGGCTTAGATTCTGCTCGCACCCTCCACTGGCCTCTTTGAGCCTGCTGGAGTCCCTGGGTTTGAGGCTTGCTCAGAGGAGGGCTGTCCAGTTATGGCTGACACAACTGCAAAGGTCACTTCCCACACAGCGCTCATAGTGCCCTCCCTGCTCAGCCGCAGCCCCGCCACCAGGACAGGGAGTGGGGGCACCATCAGGAGGGCCAGCACTTCTCTCCCTTCACCTCATGGGGAGAAGGTTGACGTGTCACCTGGTGTTTTTATCTTCCCCTGAGGGCCCTTGGCAAATGTGTGGCCATCACACACACACCTGCCACGGGCCATGGAAACCTTCCAGTAGGCCAGGGGTCTCTCTGCCTCTCAGCACCAGGGGTGTGGCTTGGGTCCTGCACAGGACCCAGGATCAGTAGAGCAAATGGATACAAAGGTGTCCTAAATCCAGCATCTCCTAGGGGATGGGGTTAAGGTAATCTACTTCAAAAGGAAATCCAGGGTATCACTGAGGGCCCTGTTTAATAGATAAGGGACTGAGGTGGCTACGAACCTGATCCCCGCGAACCAAGGCAGGTCTGACCCCCACCCCCACCTCTTCAGGGGCGACCTCATAGGTCCAGCCCAGTTGCAGTGACACCCCCTTGTAAGCCCCTCTCAGTATAATCATTCAACTGTTTAATTTTTGAGTCTGTATATTTAATTTCCAGAGAGGCAAGAGGTCCAAACTTTCGTTTGTTTTCTTGTTATTTATTTATGCGTTATTCCAGTTAAGGGTAAGATAGTTCACAGTTACGCTCCATTAAAGACTCAGGTTTGGGTGTCTGTGAACACGTTTAAAAAAAAAAATAGAGTCTTATGAATACATGACCCCCAGAACCAAAACCAGGTTTAATGAGACTAAGTATTAAGACCCCAATTCTGGCCCCCACATCACAGATACTGGCAAATAGCTGAGGTTTGTGAGGCCACTGCGGCTGCTTAAATATTCTGGGGCCCCAGAGTAGTTGTTCACAATAAATAGCTTTTATGAAGCTGCCCGAGTTGGAAGGGATTGATTTTCCCAAATCATAATTGACGGAGATCAAGTATAATGCTATGTTGTGCATTCAGCCACCTAAATATTTCTAGGTCTTCCTTGTTCAGACAAGGTAGCTGGAAATGCACTGATATTTATGAACTCTTCTGCTAATGAACACCATGGTGGGGACTTCACGATGGTCCTGTACCTTGATGGCGATCTCAAGGAAGAGAGGAATTAAGACTGCCATTTTTAACGTACAGCTATGGAATAGATAAGAACATAGGAGTTGAAAACGGGGATGCCTGTGCTATTAGCATATAAAAATCCACTTGTTTCTTTTATGACATGAAGGTTTAGTGTAAATCCTGGACAAATACAACTCTAGCCCACACACTCAGCAGGGAATTTTTATATTAAAATGAATATAATAGTACAATACGTAGGTACAGATCCAAACCATTATATCATCCTAGTTGGCTATACAATTTCTGGACCTTCTTTGTAACACTGACCACCTCCATTCTTGTCCATTCTAGAGACCATCATGTCTGTAAAACTACCATCCAGTACATCCTTCACCCTGAGCCACTTCTTTGTTCCTGTCTTACATTCTAGAGCAGGCCAGGCCACAGCCCACCTCGGCCCCACTAGTCCAACCGAGGACATGAGGACACTGGCAACGGGGGAGGGTCCTGCCCAGGTGGGGCCTGCCAGGACTGTACCCCCATCCTGACCAGACCTCCCTTCTTCCCTGCAGGCCCTCCAAAGCAAGTGCTACTGAAGCTGCAGCCCACGTGGGTGGCTGTGGGCAGACCCTTTACTATCGAGTGCAGGGTGCCCGACGTGATACCCCTTGAGAATCTCACTATCACCCTGCTCCGTGGCAATGAGACCCTGCACATCAAGACCTTTGGGAGAATGCATGACTCCCAAGAGGCCAGGGCCACACACAGCATCACAGCTCACAGGGAAGACAGCCATCACAACTTCTCCTGCCAGGCCGAGCTGGACCTGCGGTCTCTCGGTGGGGAAGTGGTCCGTTGTATCTCAGAGCCCCAGGCGCTGATGGTCTATGGTGAGGCAAGCCTCCAGACAGAGGTGGGAGGGAGAGGGACTCCTTTACAGCCCCTTGGGGGAAGGGAAAACCGTTGCCCCACTCTCTGCCAGCTCAGGGGGCAGGAACCCAGGGCCCCTTACTTGATCCAAGGGCTCCCTCTTGCCCTCCCTCTTCCCTAAAGCTCTCCCCAAGTTCCCAGCTTGGAGCCCAATAGTTGCTTGGCCTTTGGTGAGCTGTGTGACCTTAACCAAGTCCACCTCCTCTCTCTGGCCTTGGCCCCTCTCTGGGAGGAGGGTTTGGCCTGAGCTACCCCTAAAGCCCCCTGGAGCTCCGCTCTTCTGTGGCCTGGATGGCCAAAGCATTCCCTGTCTTCAGAGGTGGGTAGAAACTCACTCAGCTCCACCAGGGAGGGGCTTGGCCTGGGCCATGCCGCTGTCAGGCCGTGGTGTCCCGTGACCACGTGCTGGTACCAGGGGCTGGTGGCAGGGGCAAGTCAGCCCTCTCACGCTCACAGAGGCAGAGGCCTGGCAGGACCCAGGCCACCTTTCCTCTAATAATACACCATTTTCCACTCATCTCTGCAGGGCAGTCAAGGGGTGGGTGGGTAGGGTGACAGATGGACCTCTCTTCCACCTTGTGCTGTGGCACCTGGGACGAGAGGGCCTCTAAGACCACTGCCCCTTTCCTCCCCAGAGCCCATGCAGGACAACCAGATGGCTATCATCATCACAGTGGTGGCAGTGCTGTTGTTCCTGTTTGTGACGTCCGTCCTGTTGTGCTTTGTCTTCGGCCAGCACTGGCTCCGGAAGCGGATGGGCTCCTACAGGGTATGAGATCCTTGGAGGGTCACAGCCTACATGAGCAGGAGGGCCCCTGCATGCCAGCGACTGGGACTCAGCATGGCTCCTGAGGGTTATGGTCCAGCCCTGGCTGAAGGACTGGATAAGCAGCAGAGAACTGTGGGATCATTTCCTTTTCTAGTCTGCATACAAATACCTGGGCTTAACCCCATGCCTCAGTGTCTCCTCCTGAGATAATAATGGCTAGGAAGGGGACCCACCAGGCCTGGATTTTTCTCGACCAATGTCTCTTCAGTCTCCCTCCACTCAGTCCTTTGCAGGGGCCTTCCAAAGCCCTGACCAGCCCAGGCCCTAGGGCGCCCCCAAGCTGACCAGCCCAGGCACCAGACACCCAGGCTCACTGGGCCTTGAGTGACTAATTTCTCCTGATGTACGGAGGGGGAAACACTCCCTGACTGGCAGGGCAGAGAGACGTTCTGTTCCCCTATAGCCTTCTGGGACTTCACACCACTCCCGGCCGGAGGAGGACATGACCTCTCCTTGCTGCCAACAGCCTGCTTCCTGCGGTGAGGGTGGGGGCCCCAAGGGAATGGGATCAGCTCCAGGCCTCTCTCCTGTCACTGGGCCTTCCAAGAGCTGTGGACAATAAACACAGTCCTCTCCTCTCACCTGCTCCATCGTCAAGCCAGACCAAGACCTCACAGACGTGGCCGTCCCAGAGAGGGGTGAGGGAAGGGGGTCGAGGGAGGACTCTGGTCCCCAGCCTCCCACTAGCCAGGGCAGGAAACGGGGCAGAGTTGAGCTTTCATGTGGCTTCTGGGCCCTGGATGATGCTCAAAGGGGCTCTTACTGCAGAGCAGAGATCAGGCTGCGTCAAGGTCTCAGTGGGCTAGAGGCTCGTTGGGGCTAAATGGGGAAAAGAACTGCCAGGCCTGGGTGCAGAGTTGGCGGGCACTAGAGGGGCGCTTGGTGGCTCTGGGGCTGTTTCTAGCCCTGCGGTGAAGCTGCCGTAGGTCCCAGGGCCAACATTTTTCCTCACGGAAGGTTCTCGGCATCATAGTAGTCTGAGGAAGACAGCACCCTCATCTTGACTCCCTTCCATCTCAGCGGACCCCAGGGAGTCAAAAGGAAGGAGAGGCCAATTGCCTGCAGTGGTGACAGTGGGGACACCCATGCCCCAGGCAACAAGGCCCTCCTGGCCTCCTGACCCATCCATCCCTAGGCCTGGGTCCCACTGCCCAACCACCATGTCCCTACCTGAAGCCGGGGGTACATCTGCACCCACAGTTCCTGTGGCACTGGGGGGCGGGGGCGGGGGCACCGCTCTCCTGAGATGAGAAAGAGAAGAAAACCCCCATCAGAAGTGGCCTCTGCAGTTTCACCCACAAGTATCTCCACACCAGTCCCTGACCAGGAATGCCCAGACACCCCTCCAGCCTCACTTACACCCCCCTTTTCTCGAAGGCAGGAGGGCGGTGCTCAATCCTGGACATGTCCTGCAAGTGGGGCTGGTGGAGGGGTGGAGAGAGGAATGGGGCTGGCCAGGGCAGCAGGGGGCCCAGGGTGGGCACAGGGCAGGGTAGGTAGTGGTGGTGGAACACCAAAGGCCCTCGGTCCTGGGCTTGCATCTCTTCCTCCTCCGCATACACCTCTTGGGTGCCCCCCAGGTAGACCTGCGGATTGTGTGAAATGGGGAGGGAAATGATACAGGGTCGGGCTCCCCTTCCCCCACTCCTCCATTCCTCTGAATTACTTCTCTAGAAACACATCATAAACTGGCTATCATTGATTGAACATTTACCACATGCAAGCAAGATACTTTGGAGACATTCTTTATTTTGCAGGTGGGAAAACGGGAGGCTCAAAGAAGTTGAACGACTTGTCTGAGGTCACTCAGTGAATAAGTGGCCGAGCAGGGACTGGAAGAAACCAGGTGTGGCTCTGGCAATGGGTCAGGAGTCCAGCAATCTGCCTCTGGCCTCGCCCCCAGCTCCTGGGTCGACCTGGGCCCCATCAGTGTGGAGAGTGCTCATCCCAGGGGCCCCCTGAAGACCTGGGGGTGAGGGGCAACAGCAGCTCCTGCCAGCCTGGATAATAGACACGCCCCTCACCTCCTCCAAGCATCAAAATCCCACCTACTTTTCAAGGATTGGTTCCAAGGCCACCTGCTCCTCCAGGAAGCCTCTCCCACTCCCCCAGAGTGTGTGCACTCACACTTTGTACTTCTCTGTGTGCCAGTCACAGCCAAAGCCGCCTTGTATTCATAGTCATTCATTTATTCACCCACTTGTTCAACAAGTATCAGTCGAGCCCCTAATAAGTATCAGGCACCCTGTAGGCCCAAGGTTCGGTAGTGCCCGCCATCCTGGGCCTGCAGTCCAGTCGGGGATGCACTGCAGGGAAGCCTTGAAACAAGACCTGAGTGGTCTGGATTCGTCATAAACTGGCTATCATTGATTGAACATTTACCACATGCAAGCAAGATACTTTGGAGACATTCTTTATTTTGCAGGTGGGAAAACGGGAGGCTCAAAGAAGTTGAACGACTTGTCTGAGGTCACTCAGTGAATAAGTGGCCGAGCAGGGACTGGAAGAAACCAGGTGTGGCTCTGGCAATGGGTCAGGAGTCCAGCAATCTGCCTCTGGCCTCGCCCCCAGCTCCTGGGTCGACCTGGGCCCCATCAGTGTGGAGAGTGCTCATCCCAGGGGCCCCCTGAAGACCTGGGGGTGAGGGGCAACAGCAGCTCCTGCCAGCCTGGATAATAGACACGCCCCTCACCTCCTCCAAGCATCAAAATCCCACCTACTTTTCAAGGATTGGTTCCAAGGCCACCTGCTCCTCCAGGAAGCCTCTCCCACTCCCCCAGAGTGTGTGCACTCACACTTTGTACTTCTCTGTGTGCCAGTCACAGCCAAAGCCGCCTTGTATTCATAGTCATTCATTTATTCACCCACTTGTTCAACAAGTATCAGTCGAGCCCCTAATAAGTATCAGGCACCCTGTAGGCCCAAGGTTCGGTAGTGCCCGCCATCCTGGGCCTGCAGTCCAGTCGGGGATGCACTGCAGGGAAGCCTTGAAACAAGACCTGAGTGGTCTGGATTCGGTGATCCCCATTCCCACCCTAGAGAGGCTGACATGGGGCATGGCAATAACAGATGCCAAACATACCCAGCCAGATAGGTGTGGGCTGGCTTCCTGTTCCTCTGCCGCCTGCCCCAGAGGAAGCCCCACAGGGGAACCTGTAGGGGGAGCCTCGGTGCCCCGCCCCCCGCCCGTCGCCCACGCACCTGCGCGGTAGGCCCAGGGTCCACCGCCTCTGCGGCAAGGCGGCCCAGCAGCAGCTGGTGCATCTGCGCGTTCTGCAGCATCATCAGCTCCAGGAGGCCTAGGGCGCAGGAGCTCAGCACGTCCGCACCACGCCTCCCCCGCCCTCTGCCAGGACGCCCAGCCCCGGGAGTCGCGGAAGGGGGTGCAGCATGGATGCTCGGAGAATGTGAGGGACAGAGGGGAGCAAAGTAGGAGCGGAGCCCCTCTTCTCACCTTCTTTCACGCGGCCCGGCTGCGCGGGCGGAGGTGGGACCGCCCACGGGAGTGGCTGCAGGACGGTCATCCAGGGCTGGGAGAGGGAGACTCAGCCACGCCATGCAGGGAAGAGATGGGAACCAACCTCCCTCCACTCCCCTGAGCTGCCTCCCTAAGCCCGCGGGGGCTGCGTTCTCCTCTTCGCGCCCCACGGCCTCCGCACTCAGTCTCTTCCTCTCTGGCTGGAGTCTCTCTCCTCACCCACCCCTACTCCCACGGCAGGAACGGCCCCCCAACTCAGCCAATCCCCACCCTGGCCTCCCCGGTGAGGCAGTCTCTGCTCCCCAGCTCAGCCCTCACCGTCGGGGCTGCGCTCTGTGGTGGGAGATGACCCCAGCTCTCTTCATGCCCGGAGGCCATGGCTGGCTTCAGTGGGTCAGGGTTACCCTGGCAACCCCGGCAACGCCAAAACCTACCACGCATGCGCAGGTCCTGCCCAGGCTCCGGGTGCCGGAGGCGTTCGCCCTGCGTTGCCACCTTCTGCTGTCCTCTCTCCACCTCCAGGGGCCTGGGTCCCCGAGGACCAGTCTCCTCCTCCTCCAGCCTCGAGGCCCTAATCTACACCTCCAACCTCCCTGCGCCGGGCTCCGCAGGCATCGGTCTGATTCTTCGCTCTACCTCCCACCCTTGAGCATCCCCACCCAGTACCGGCCCAGTGGGAGCGGGGAGCGGGGAGCAGTGCCTGTTGCGTGAGTGAGTGAGGGACTGGGAAGCCCGGCCCTAACTCAAGACACTTGGTTTTCGGGCCCCAGTGCCTAATTGACTAGGATGATGAGTTTATTAAGCAGGAATAGAGAATTCTGTAGAAGTAGGCTTGGGGGCACAGGTGCATGAGGAAGACAGAGAATCTGCTCTGTTCCGCTGAATCAGAAGGGCATCCTAGGGTCCAGGGGGTTTCTGGGGCAGATGAAGGAAGAAAACACACCAAGTCCACAGAAAAGGCCGGGCCCTAGTCAGAAAAGGGTGGCTGGCCCTTGACTCCCTCCTTGTAGCTGTCTGCTCCCTGGTTCCTGGCCAAGGTGAACCGCTGCTCTCAGAAGAGAGGCCTGCAAAGTTCTGCACCAGCGCTCTCATTATTGTCCCTCATCCTGGAAGAATTATCAAAGCATGCATTCTTTTGACAGGAAGTTATCAAGTTCGTCTTTGCTTAAGAACAGGTGAGGGGAGAGATCTATTTCGGCAGCTGTGACCATCCTAAGATAGGCCCTCAGCAGCAGTCAAGGAAAATCCGGACCGGAAGCTGGGATTAGCACCCTCTGAGCCGCCCTTCCCTCACTCTCCACTTCCCTTCAGCTCCCCTTCCCTTAAGTCCTGGTGCCTAAACCACAACGACCATTCCCACGTCCTCCTTTAGGCCTTAGTCCCCGTCTCCAAGGGAGCAGGCCTGTGAGCAGTGCTTTAATGGAGGAATGGAATTCTGAGGGAGGCGGAGGCCCTTGGAATGGGGCCAAGCAGTATTGGAGGGAGTGGGCAGCCCAGTCTGGGGACACAGCCTGAGCAAAGGCCCAGAGGCAGGAACGGTCGGGCCTGGAAGGACCCAGCAGGTCAGACCGCCTGGCTGTGGCGGAGGAGCTGGGCAGAGAGAAGTCCCAGCAGCTCAGGCAGCTGTAGGTTAGACTCGAAGGCCAAGTTAGGGAAGTTAGGCTTTGCCATGTGGGTACTAGAGAGCTCTTGGTGGGTTTTGAGCAGGAGAAAAGTAAGGAGGCTATGTGGGCACAGCCATGTTTCAGGAAGATTCATGTTGTTCCTCAGATTTTTGTTTATGTCAGCCAGAATTAAAAGAACAAATGTCTGATGGGGATGTATCCTCCTAATGGAATACTGTATTAGCCATTGACAGTTTTGGTATACAGCACGGCTGTTGATGGGTGGAATGGTGTCGAAGAGAGTGGAGCAAAACAATAAGCATAGTAAGATCTTATTTTTGTTTTGAAAATCACATGTACGTATGTGCATGTGTATGTACATGTGTGTGTAGAGAAAGAGAGGGAGAGAGGGCCTGGGAGAGAGCAGGCAACTATAGAGAAGCTGTCAGGCCTCACACCACCCCCCTCCCCGCCTGGGGGTCTTCTGCAATTGGTCTCACACTCACCTACAGCCTCTCCACCTGGGGGCATTTCTGGCCACAGATGAGGCAGCCAGAGCTGCTCCAGGAGCAACCCAGAAGCATCAAGGGACAGGAGTTGATGCTAAACTCCCCAGCCTCCTGGCTTCACTGGGACAATGCTGAAGGGTCTTCCCCACAGTGTGTCAGCCATGCCCATGGCTTTAGTCCCCAGCTGTCCCACTAATAGCCTGTTCATGGACCCACACTTTGTTGGCTTTTCTCGTTCCCTATCCCTTCTCCACTCCCTCACAGTGTTTCCTGGGATCTTCTTCCAATTAAACTACTTGTTTCTAAATCCTTGCCTCGGGCTCTGCTCTGGGGGATCCAAACTAAGATACTGACTCCCCATGTTCTCCACATCTGTCCCTAGGCTGCTGAAAACTCCTAGAAAAGGCTATTATAGTAGCTAGATAATAGATTTCTGTCTAGTGAAGTGAAATACCAGAATAGACACTCATTGAAGAAAATTCACCTGGGAGTATGAGGCTCACTGGATTAAACTGAGGCAAAGTTGGAGGCTGGGAGGCCAGCAAGGAGGTCACCACCCTCATCCTTTTAAAGGAAGCCCAGAGCAGGCTGGAGGTGACTAGAAAACAGAAAGGACCAGGTGGTCATTCAGTACAAGATTGGGGTTAACCCTACCTGGAACCTGTATTTTGGAAGACAGGGCTGAGGTAAAAACTATCTGGCTTCTGTGTTCAAGTTCTTTGTCAAGGGAAATGGAAGCTTTTGCCACTTGAAGAATGGAAAAACCCATACACTTACCTGCCAGAGCTATTTTACTTACAGAAGATTTAACATCAGCCCAGCACTGGAGGAGGTGACCTGGCTACTCGCCCTACCTACTGTTATTTTCTTTGAGGCATTGAGCACTCCACCTATTTCCTTTTCATTTTTTCCTCAATTGGAACTCTTTTTTGCATCTCTGGTTTTGTTTTTTGTCTTTTTTGGTGGTGTTTTGGGGTTTGTTTGTTTGTTTAGTCTCCCAAGACAATATGTACCAAAAGTCAATCCCTCTATTACCTTGAAATCTATTTATGGGAATAAACTAAATATGAGAAAAAAGATTTCTACTAAAATATGTCCATCACAGTGTTACTTTTAAGTGCTGAAAATGGAACATTATCTGAAGTCCCATAATGTGAATGGTTATTAGATGAAGGCAATTCACTCAAATGGGCAGAGGCATGAATGGGAAAAGAGAGCTGCCTCCACCACCTCTCCTCTAAGGCACACAGAAGGGAGGAGTGGACTGTCAGGAGACAGGGACCAGGAGTTCAGACAGTGGAAGCAGCAAAGCAAACTGGAGCCACACCAGGGCCAGAAATGATGAGAGGGACCCCAAGGAGCAGCGCTGGGGAAAGACAGGAGACAAAAATGTCTGCTTTTCTTCTCAATGCTAGAAGCAGACCATTGCAAAGAAGAAACGGGCAGGCAGACAGGCAGACACCTGGATTACAGTAACAATAAAACTTGCTAGGCAGCTGCATCTGGAGAAGTTTCTCCCCACACAACAGATGAAACCTCAGCATGGATGGGGGGAGGGTTCTTGACTCTAATGAGAAGGAATTCATGGACAGGTCAGGTGAGTGTAGCTAAGGAAGGAATTGAGTAAAGCAAGAGTAGCAGCGAGTGGCAGCAGCCCTGCAAGCAGCAGAGACCAAGTAAAAGCAGAGGGAAGAAAGGGAAGCTCATTGAACTCCTGCTCCACGTAGGGCAGATCCCTTGCAACTCCTGAAGCCAGGGTCACCTGGCGTCCAGTGTCTGCTTGGATCTGCAGTGCGTGGGAACTAAGCCCCTACCACCCCAGGATTTGGAGGAGCCACAGAGCACTGGATGGAGTGAGATTATGTTCTGAGAACTTCCCAAAGCAAAGAAAGGGGATTTTTGAACAGGATCCTAAAGAGCATGATCGTACAGTCCTGTTTGGGTCACCCAGGTGACGGGAACTTGCAAGCCCAAATCAGAGATCTCACTAGCCCTTACCTACTTGTCTGAAGTAAGACGGAGTGAAGACTGTGGTTAAATCTAGAAAATGAATGAAATAGCGAAGTTATAAAGATGCTTGCCACTGGGAAAAAGGGTCTCTTAATTAATCTCCAAGAGGCTTGGAAGAGTGCAGACAAAACACGGTAAGTTGAGCAGCAAGAAGGTTTTATTTAAGGCAAAATACACAAAGGGGAGCACAGGCAGCTTCAGAGAGCAGGCGCATTTAAAGCTTAGGATTTGTGTCCTTGAAGGATTTCAAGAATGAGGCCAAGGGCCAGGGGGCATGGGCCTGACCTGAGATCTCATGAAGTCTGTCTCCAGGGAAAGACATTATGTCACCATCCACAGTCAGTCCTCTAGGTAGTCCGTAAGATAAACTTAACACAGGAATTTGTTGATCCTGTTCTTCTCCAAGATGGTGGTTACTCTCAAGCGCAGGGAGCATATCATTCAGGACTGCTTTCCCTGTCTTAAGATAGGGTATTGGCTAATTACCATAAAGTATGTTAGGAATATTACCTCCTAACTCCCTGGTTTTTAAAATGTAATCTTAGCCTTAAGATGGAGTCCCTCCTGTTCTTACTATGCTGTTTTTCTGCATTTTCATCATATGCAGGAAAAATTAATCGTGATGTTTGTCCCATGTCCCCGCTCTACCTCAAAACTGCATGGAAAATGCTTGTCAGAAAGGCCAGTGAGCAAAGCAGGATAAAGACCTGTGCACAGAGCACACAAACACTCACACATAGGTTAGGAAGACACACTTCTGAGGGTGTGAGTTGACTCACCTAGGGTGAGATGTGGGCAGTCCAGGCATAGCAAGAACTTCTGAAAGCCTAGCCTGGCCTGGACCCCAAGGAGGGGCTCTACAAGACTGAATCTGGATGTGCAGAAAGCCTCTGGAGGAGAGGTGCCTTGGGCCCACCCCCAGGGCCTAGGGAGACCACTCCCCAGGCCTCCCTGTGCCCCTCACAAAGGGCATTCTGTCCTGGGCTCAGTCCAGCCGGAAGTTTGGCTTCCAGAAAAGGTAGTGTCAGGGGCGGGCATGGGAAACGCAGAGGGCAACAAAGGGAGCGATGGGGCACCATCAGTTCCCTGGATTCACCCAGGGCGTCTCCTGTTGGCCTGGGGCAGGTGCTAGGGGCCAGCCGGGAGACGGGTCATTTCACAACAGCTCCACTAGGGGTCGCCTCAGCCCCAGAGTGGAGGGTGGGGGAGGGGGTAAGCCAACCTCCTCCCTCCCCCGAGGACATCCCCTCCCCAAGCTCTGAGGACAGATGTCTAGCCAGTGGGACAGGG